AGATCAAAACCCGATCAGAGAAAAAGCTGATGAAACCAAATCAAATGACTTCATCTGCCTCAGAACTTTTTGACTGTTTTCTCCACGGTGTACAGTCAGTGTCGCTGCTGCTGCTGCTGCTGCTTCCCAGGTCAAAGGTCGAGGTGTTTATAATGTACCGTCCGTTCCTGCTCTTCCCACGGCCCCGAGCAAAGAGTTCCCATTAGTACCGATGGTCAGAGATTTAACTACTGTGAATCACTGATTCACCTCTGTGGTTCAAGAGTTGTGTGTGTACTTGTGTGTGTACTTCATGTATACATACATGTACATGTACATCCAGCGCTGACTCATTTGTGTCATTTTAACCTCTTGTTGTCCTGAAGCCTAAGGCCAACGGAACAACAAAGACTTGAGCTGCACGCTGACTCACAGCCAAAGGTCAACGACCCCTGCTGGCTGAAATAACACTGGTGAAGGTGCAGGTTTGGATGGGCACATGGTCGGGGGTGGAGGAGTGGGTGTGGGTGTGGGTGCTGCCAAAAGGACAGTTCTTAGAGCTGCGGTCGGACAGTTGGATTTTTGGGATCGTCGTTGTTGTTGTTGTTGTTGTTGTCGGTCGGACAGTTGGTCAGACAGTTGGATTTTTGGGATCGTTTTTGTTGTTGTTGTTGTTGTTGTTGTTGTTGCTCCTTCTCTGCTCTGGTGTTTGATAGCTGTGTGTGTCTGTGCACGGTGGTCCATAATTGGACGCCCCCAGACCCTTTCATGGGTTCAGTCCAGTTCAGGTTAGGTGGACTCTGTAATTAGTCCCAACATATGTCCTCCCACTGATGGTCTCCGTCTTAGGTTTCAGGTTTTTGTGACAGACAGACACAAAGGCCTGGAATTTCACCTCCACCTCTGCTACAGCCTCACAGTGTCCTGGGACCAGAGACCACACTCCCCCCCACCCCCCTTCTCCCCCTACTGGCTGGTAGTAAACGTGGTCTGTGTTTGTCTTGAAGGTGGGCTCCAGTCCACGTAGGACATAAACAGAAGACAAAACAAACTCCAACTGCACGACATCAGACTTTTATACTTCCTTCCTGTTGTGACTGACTGTCAGACACTGAACAGCTGTTAGAATTTTTTTTTTTTTTTTAATATTTTTTAAAATATTTTCTACTCGTTTTTATTCTTTATTTTAATTTTATCTGAAAAAAATTAAATAAGAAAAGAAAAGAAAAATAATTATTATATTAAAAATAATTACTACTTATTTTACAATTATTATAAATAAAACAAAAAAATAATAATAATGTTAATGATAATTATTCGTAAACTCCTGGGAAACATGATGCCAGACGACCCAAAAAAAAATCTCTTGCGACCCACCTGAGGGTCGCGACCCAGTCTTTGGGAAACAATGCAATAATACATGTAATGCAATATAATATAATAATAATAATTCAGTGTACTCAAAGTAGTAGTAGTAGTAGTTGTTGTAGTAATAAGTACATGTGTGTTCAACACGTGGCTCTGGGACACAGGAAGCTCAGTCTTTTCCAGCGTCGTCGTCACAGTGATTTTCCAGTGATTTCTCCGGTAAATTCTCTGGTACTAAACCCGTGGCTCCGTCCTTGACGGTGGGCAGTTTGGTCAGCGTGACCTCTGAGGTTAACTCAGTGTAGTTTCTGAATGGAAGCGGCGAGCGGGTCATGTGACCAGAACCTCCGTGTCAGGCGCGGCCGCGGCCTACGCTACAGTCAAGGTCAATGATGTGGTTTTTTTAAACGGGGCTAAAAATACCACGGTTCGTGTGAAAATACTGGCTAACGTTGACCGTGAGGTACTGTCACACCGAGTACTAGTACACGGACAGAGACCGCCACAACAATCCTTGAGAGTTCTGATATCAGCGTCTCCAGGTGTAGTTCCTGACGTTAGCGTTTGTCTGTGTTTTTAAATGAAGGAATTCCAAAAACTTTAATCAAACAAGACGTTTTTTTTTTTTAATTAACTGCACTTTTTTGACACCGTGGCTGATCTCCAACCTTGCAGGAGGGTTGGGGTTCAATTCCATCTTGTCAATCAACTTCAGGCTGAGCTGCATCAGGAAGGTCCCAACCCCCCGACCCCCAACTGTGATGACCCCTGATTTGTTTTTCTGTCTCGTCCCTCCTTTGGTCTGAACACCAGGATTTGAACAATTTTGACACAAAGATATAAAATTAAGAGTCTTCTTTTTAAACATCTCTTTACAATTGTTTACTTTTTTTTTTTTAGAATAAAACATACGTGATATCCCTTTAATAATCTAATAAAGACCAACTAAGAACACAGGTGATGAAGGACCAGGTTTGATTCTCAATATTTAACACTTTGGTTTGACACCAGTTTTCAGACTGTATATAAATCTGTGGCGACAGGAAAGTTGATCTAAATGTAACCTGTAGCTGGGTTAGTTTTTGGGTGTTTTTTTTTTTTTTTTCTCAGAATGGTGGCGCTCTACGTGAAGTTCTTCTCTATATTATGTTTGAACAAAGAGAACGAGTCAAGGGGAACAAACTGCTCCTCTCTGCAGAAACGTCCGTGTTTTACACTGAAAGGAAAGACTGCCGTAACTCTGAGGTATCAGTCAGGAGGAGAGATCGCTTTTCACCACCGTGACAAAGGGAGGAGGAGGTGGGAGAGGGAGGGGGGAGGGGAGGGGGGGAGGAGGGAGGAGTTAGGAGGGGAAACATTGGCAAGCCGGCCAATACGGAGCACGTCCCCTGGTGTCCCCCCCCCCCTTTTACTCTTCTGAATGGGGCGCTCCTCCTCACTTCTCCTCCCTGCCTGGTGGAGTGTGTGTGGACAGAGCGGTGCAGTGGATCAGTGGGCATGTCATAGGAAACGTCCGGGACACAAACCTGACTAAATGCCCAGGATGAGGACTCAGGTCTCAGGAGTTTTGTTTTTGTTGCTCCAGTCTTTGGTTTTCTCTGACGCTTGGTTCTGGTCCTGGACCGGCACCACGGCTTTGGCCCCCACAGTGGACCCCGAGGGGTCGGGCAGTCCAGCAGGCAGTGGAGAGCAGCCAACAGAGGACACAGTCGCAGCACGGGTCACTGAGGAACGACCTGGGATCCGGGTCACGGAGCAGAACTGGGTTCAGAGCACTGGAGCCCCTCAACAGACCACTCTAGTGCCTCCTACAGCCCACCTGGAGAATGACATGGCGTCTGAGAAAGGCACAGACCCTCCGTCACAAATAAGTGAACCTGGTAATGGCTCATCTTCTCTAATGGGTGTGGGGTCTGCAGATTTTAACCCTTTAAGATTTTCAGGACTTGAAGCAGACCGGGGTTCAGGTCTTTGGTCCGGTTCTGGAGAAAGTTCTAGATCTGGGTTTGAGGAGGAAGCTAAAGCTGATTGGTTCTCTGGATCAGACACACATGAGTTTTTAGAGGTAAATGACAGAGAAGCGGTGTTGACCACAGACGGTGTGACGTTGCCAGATAATTACCGTAATGAGTCTAATAAAAGTCACTTAATCATTCACAGAGCAGAGAAAGTCAACGCTTCTGACGAATCCTCACAGAATCTCCGTTCTTTGTTGGAAATTCCCGTTAACAATAGCGTTAATTACTCTCCAGAAAACTCCACCTCCGTAGATTTGCTAATTCCACTTAATGACACCGTCTCTAACCTGGACTCTAGGGGCCGCCAGCTTACACCAGTTACTGATTTACCAGTTACGACTCAGGAACCTGTCGTTTACCAAAGTGTTCCGACTAGCCAAGCGTCAACTGTTAGCCAAAGATTTCAAACAGCGATCACAGCTGCCCAACGTGAAGACTCTACGTCGACGTTAGCAACTAGTCACACCGCAGCAACTTCGACCGCAGCTGCCCAACGTGAAGAGTCTACGTCGACGTTAGCAACTAGTCACACTTTAGCTGCCAGGCCTAGCTTAGCAACCTCCTCACAGCAACTAACGACTGTTAGTAAAGATGTAAAGACAGGGGGCGACAGAGCAGTGACTGAATCTCAACGGTGTGTGTTGCTCAGTGAGCCGTTGCCATTCTGCTCCTTCACGAAAGGAGAAAAAATTCTCGTTCCAAATTTTGTCAACCAGACCAGTGTGGAGGAGGTTCGGGCGCTCCTCACTGAGTGGGCGTGGCTGCTGGGTTCAAACTGCCACCATGGTGTGCAGTGGTTTTTCTGCCTTCTCTTGGTCCCAAAGTGCGACCCAGCGGGGGCGCTGCCCCTGCTGCCGTGCCGGAGTTTCTGCGAAGTCTTGAGGGACAGTTGCTGGATGCTCCTGGATGAAGGACGCCTCCCGGTGGAGTGCCACACTCTGCCTGATGATGATGATGATGGTGATGATGGTGATGATGATGATGGGTATCAGTGCTTGTCTCCTAGTAACCAGAAAGGTAAATCACCTGGTCAAACTAGATCCTGGTCCAGGATCTAGTTTGAACCGGTCCAGTCTGTCTGGTCTTCTCACTGGTGTTAAAAACCCTGTCCACCCAAGACCTGTCCACTGTTTGTCCCCAGTAACTGCCCGCTGGTGTGACCTGTGTTTGGTGACCATGTGACCGGGGGGCGTGTCTTAACCACAGCATGTTTGACGTGTTTGGCTGCAGCCTAACCAGCATGGAGCTCACTGGTCCGCCGGGTTTTAACTTCCTGCATGTGTTTTCTTCACCCTGTGGATTTTTGTCTAACCTACTGAACACACACACACACACACACACACACACACACACACACACACATCTCCACTGCAGTACCAGATTCTAAAAGGCTAACGGTTAGCCGACGGTAAACGTGATGTTGTTGATCTTCTGTTTTGTTTTTAATTTCGTTCATCTGTCGTCGATCATGGTTTGTTCAAACCATGGCCTGTGTGTGTGGTTGTGAGTGGTACTGCATCTGATCGTGGAAAGTACCGGTGCCTGCTAAGAAACAGTTCCGAATTCCGTCCGTGCCTCAGACTTGTTGCATGTCCGCGTGAGTGAGTTTGTCCATGGATGGACGGACGGACGGACGGATGGACGGATGAGGTGGTCGTGCATGCCAAGCAGCGGTGACATCATCACTGTCTTCCAGTTGGACGTATCTGTGGTCGACGTTGACGGCATGTGTTTCCAGTGACAGTAACAACATGGAGAAGAAGCTGAACTTCTCTGCGGCCCTGACCCCTGACCCCTGACCTCTGACCTGGTCTTTTCAGAGTGCCTGAGTCTGTCCCGTCCCGTCCTGTCCTGTCCCGTCCTGGTTACTGTCTCTCTCACACTGTGGTCCATTGACAGACATAAGTGGACACGGGTTGTTGGTTTGAAGACCGAGTGACATATCTCGCCCGAAACAAAGAGCTGGGCGTTGGCTGCTGTGACTGTATCTGCTTTGGCTTGGATGAACTTTTATGTTTTGGGGGGAGCGGTGG